ACTGCGCCGGTAGCGCCATTCTCAAGCCTGCCGGCCATTCCTCACTCTAGCCCGCCGGCCTCCGCTCACTCAAGCCCGTCGCCGCTCACTCTAGGCCGCCGGCTGCCGCTCACTCAAGCCCGCCGCCGCTCACTCTAGCCCGCCGGCTTATATATGAGGCATATATACTGTATATATGATAAATAGGATTTTTATGCTATCAAAATTTTTTGATGCACAGAAATTTCATAATTCTTGTTACCAATTAAAATATCACAAAAAAAAATACTAATAGACTGAATAGTCTTCACTGTATAAATTCAATATACATTAATTATACTCCTTACTTATTTTACAAAAGTGATTCAGTCAAGGACTGAGTGATTTTCTTTCTGATGTTTGATTTACATTATTGACACAAATGTTTATCTTTAACTATTAACGTTCATTTAAGACACAAATGACTGTGTTTAAGAGGATACTCGCAAACACTGGCATTTTGACACATAACTATGTGTATTTGAACGTTTAAGCACAAGGCACGAAAAAGAACTCAAGTTTAGTCAGGCGCTGTACGAGCAGGCCAGGGCTGAAACCGTCTTAACGCGCGCATTTACCAACAAGAATTCTGCCCTGCTGCTTAATGTCCATGAATAGTTTAAAACCATTTGTTTTTAAACCGCAATGCTTAAAACGCGTTTAAGCTTGCTTACATCATGACGCGCAAAACGATTGACATTTTTATACTGGGTTATTTCCCAACCCTTAAGCGAATATATAGAGTTTGTTCAAACACAAAAAGCCAAATACATCCATCAAGTTAATAATCAAACTAACCTAAAATCTGTGTGGACGATGGCGCTGTTTTTATCTGCTCCATGTGCCCGGTCCACTTGTTGTTTCACAACTTCTACTCCATCATCAGCTTTAGTAAAATAACCTGATAGCTGGGGGTTTTACTGACTATGTTTTATCTGCTGTTTGTCTTTTACGTTTTTCTTGTTTTTTTGAGCCCCTCTCTCACATTTGTTTTAGAATAGCTGACATTTTTACTTATCGAAGATTGTTCTTTGCCTGACCATTTCCAGATTATGCCAGAATGAAGTGAAGAGTGGAGGTGAATGTGGACATCAGGCGTTCAAAGGTCAAATACAGAATAAATACATTTGATTGGTAAACCAAATTCAAACGTGACGTTTCAATATCTAATGGTAATACATGGAATTTACGGCAAAGCTCCACTAAATAATAACGCTAATAAGTGGGGGCGTTCTGGGGCTTTGGCGATTGGCGCTTCAGTCAATCTACTCCACAGCCAATCACGGGCCCCCTCGTTGCTCGGGCCCTGGGGCTTCAGCCCCACCTAGCCCTATTGTTAATCCGGCCCTGCATACAACTATTGTTTTTGAGTCTGGGCAAATTTCAGCTTTGTTGTGCAGTGCAGTGGGTAAGGAGAGCCGCTTAAACTCCCCCAACTGGCAATCGGATGGTTGGATGAATTTCTGACATGCTTTACAACTTTTTTCATTGTTTATTTAGTAGGCGAAGCCTTTATCTTTAAAGCACACATTACATATTAACAGGTGTGCTGCAGCTCTGCCTTACAGGAACCTAGAGACGGATGTTGAAGTAGTGCACTGTTTCTGTACTAATGCCTTCTTAACCCTGATCAGTTACTGGATTAGAACTTGAACCTGTCCCATAGACACGTAGTAGCAAGTCCATTGCCAATAATGCTTTACATCCATGTACAACAAAAAATATGTAGCCTATGAGCTCTTACTTATATATGAATTGGCAACACCAAACAATGTAGTTTCTTTTCAATGTCAATTATCTATAGCCTCGTAAGATTACAACACAAAGATTCAATGTAATAACAGAGGTTTATTATTTTCTAAGGTAAGGTATTTTCTGTCATCATCCTTTCATTAACAAAGTTGAAATAACATTTATAAAGTATCTACTTTGGTAGTTACTCATCTACTATTTTCCTGGATAATTTGGGTCCTTTACTCAAGTAGCCTAACTGAATGCGTGTACTCTTACTTATTAACTCATCCAAGCACAAGGCATAAATTTTATTCCCTACAATTTCGTTTAGACCTTTATAGTACATTTCGACCTCACATATTTCTTAGGTCATCGTGACGTAAACATCTTTTTATTTAAAAAAAAAAAATATATATGTGAGATTGTGTGTATTTGGGTCCTTTACTCAAGCACTGCTTAAACTGAATGCTTGTGCTCTTACTTAATTAACTCATCCAAGCACAAGGCATACATTTTCTTTCCACAATTTCGTTTAGACCTTTTGTACATTTAGACCGCACATATTTCTTAGGTCATCGTGACGTCTTTTTATTTAAAAATAATATACAGTATATGTGAGTGTTTGGGTCCTTTACTCAAGCACTGCTTAAACTGCTTGTACTCTTACTTAATTAACTCATCCAAGCAAAAGGCCAATTTTCATTGTGACTTAAACGTGATTTATATATATATATATATATATATATATATATATA